AACTCTTCCAGGTGATGTGCTCGAGCCAGCCGGTGTTGTAGGGCAGCGACAGGGGGCTGTATGGAATTGGGAGTGCTGGCGGGGTGAGCCAGCCACGCGCTCTCCTAGAGTTGTAGGAGAGTACGGCAAGCGGGCTTACTGTTTCCGTGCAAACTTGGGTCTTCTGATGTTTCTGTGACCAAATACAACCAAGATACCGTTTTAAAATACCTTATGAACAGGAGGAGGGGGAAGCTTTGGGTTGCATCTTGAATTTATGAAAAAGGAATATTGTGTTTAATACTGCTTTATAGCTTATAATACAGAATTGAAAAAATACCATTGGAAAAGGGATGATGACTCTTTTTTCCCAAATTTTGAAATTGATGCCTTTGCATTTACAAAAGTCTTTCCAAAAATATTTCAGTATGATTTTTTTTTTCCCGAAGCTTATAGACACCTGTCACTCACTTCCAATGAATCCACATCTTAAAATGTAACCCCACCCTATCAGATAACTTCTGGTTACTTATATCTACCTCACGCTCCCTGCAATAGCAGGGAGAGCAACACAGAAGCGAGCTCAGTTCCCTTTTGACCATCTTTACCCGCTGGGCCTGAATCTCCTCTTACTGCCATTGACTTAAAACGGGTGCTCACTCACAGGTGACGTGACTGATGCTGGTTTTCTCCATGTTGGGCTGAGAAACAGGCTGAAGCATTTGCTCCGCTGCCTCTTGTATTCTCCCTGCTGCTTCGGCGGGCTCGGAAGGGAGGAATGTTTGTTTTGTAAGTGGTGTTACGGTGGGTTTATTTTCTGCTCCATCCTTCCTTTAGGGGGAAGCAGGGATTGATGGAATGAAAGGAGAGAAGGGTGCCCAGGGTGAAAAAGGAGACAGAGGGCCACTGGGATTACCCGTAAGTATCCAGGAAGCAAGCAGCACTTCATGAGCCAAACTTATATCAGATGTAAAAAGATCCCTCAATAGGAGACGCATGCAGGAATTTGATATGTAAAGTCAAAGAAAGAGATGATCTATAAATAACCGTGCCTTTGCTTTTTAAACATAAAGCCTTCATCTTTTAGCTCTGTTAAACAGATCAGAGATCACTTTAATTCTTCCTGCTTCTGGCAGGATGGGGCAAAACCAGAAACAGAAGTCAAAAGGATGTGGAAAAGGAAACACCTTCCCAGCTGTTCGTCACCCGGGCCAAGCTTTGTACAAAAGCTCAGTGGTTCTGAAAGCATCCAGCTTCTTCAGTAGCCAATACTTTCCTATTGCTTCCGCAACAGAATCAATGCTTTCCCTGATGAGGTAGAAGCCTGCTACGTTCCCTGCTGTATGTGAACTCAGTCGCACTGGACTAGTGTTAGTGTGCTGCTTAGCTTAGCTTAGCAAGGAGGAGTTGTGGCAGAATTATAAAGAAGTTATGGGAGCTGTAGATACAAACCTGAAGACTTTGTGAAACCCTTGGCTCGCATGTGCTAAAAGCCTCTTCACCCCCTGTCTGAGCTGACAGCTGAGAATGAATTTGTGGTAACTTAGTCCCACCCAGTTGCTCTGCCAGCCCCCACGTTCTCTCCCCATAAAATCACTGGTGGCAGAGCACACCCTCTCCCTTTTCTGAGCATACTCCCTGGGAACAAGCACGTCAAAGCGCATCTTGTGTACCGTGTGACTTTGTCGGCCTGTGTTCCATCACTCAGACCCCTCGTCCCTGACTTTGGCGAAATGTGTGTGTCTGTGTTTGTAAAATGTTTTCCTCCTTTAGTTGTGCTACATAGCAGTTACCTTCTAGGGCCTGGATGCGTCTCGATTAACTCCAGGCACTCAAGTGAGCGCATCGTGAGTGTGTTCGCTGTGGCTCCATGCAGAGCCGGCGGGGAGAAAGCGATGCTTTGGGAAGGCTCAAATGCAAAGGCTTGTGCCTCACAGTGAGAAGTGAAAACCCCATCCCCATTCTGCCCTGACAAGTGCAAATGGAAGCTTTCTGTGTTACTCCCTCACATCTGTGTGGTATCAGGACAGGGGAAGGAGATCCTTGTGACCATCTGAGCAGAAGATGCCCCAGCAATTATCCTGACAAGCCCATCAGTGCAACAGGGAATGTGCTAGCTGGTTCTCCTATAGCAGTGAGCCCCACAGAGATGCCAGGGTCCCTTGGCTTTTCACATCACTCTACCTGAGCCATGGAGGGGGAAAGACCGGCTCAGAAGTGTCCTCTTTGATATGTGTTGTGTTTGGATCAACACAATATCAGCTGGCCAACTAGGAAGCACAGTTATTGAGCTCTTTGTAAGATCAGAGAGATATTGTGGACCTTGTATCCCTCCTCAGAGCTAACTGTCTTCATAAGCTTTTCCATGCCTGATCCAGTGTGTTTGCAGCCTGCCAAACTAAATGCAGTTGTATGAATAAGTACCTTCAGGGTACTGAAATATTTCAGAGACAGACTCTGGAAAAACCCCAGATCTGCTGCCTTTTCATGTGTGACTTAGGGCTTGACATCGTGCCAGAATTCTAAGCACATTTCAGCACCGATTGTCTGCAGTAGCCTTGGGCTTCTCTGTATGGCCAAGAAGCTGAGGAATTTGTCATACTCAAGTGGAGAAAAACTTGATATTTGGTACTTTTAGTCCACTTAAGGTTTCTCTCCTGGCTACTGTCAGAGACGAGGCATTGGGCTAGATGGGCCTTGGGCAGAACCACTGTTAGGTCTTACAGATGAGGAAATTCAGGGCAAGAGCCAAGTGGACAGAAAAGTGCCACTTAATCTCAATCTGGTGTAAGGCAGGGGAAGATGAGCTGCATGTTTTCACAAACGTCCAGACAACTGGCTCCTCACCTCTTCCTCTGGCCAAGAGATGCAGAGTGGAGCAAGCCTGCAGCTGGCTAAGTGTGCACCTACAGGACTCGGGTTTCTTGGTAGGAACTTGAACGGCTGATGGCTCCTCACCCCTTGCAAATGCCTCTGTGACCACAGGCCTCTGAGCCCCTGAGCCTCATCTCTCATCTGTGTTGCCCAGCCTGCCACAGAGGCAATCCAGGTTTCAACTCCACTGTCACATGGTCCTTTTCATCACTTGTCACAGAACAGATTCTTCCTCAGGGGTTTTCTTGGTGGCACTGAGAGGGGGAAATTGGCATTCCTTTTTAAAAGTTGCAGGTCAACATTATATGTTTCTATGTTTTTGTTGGTTTGTTTGTAAGTACCATCACCTGTCCTTGAGATCTTAATTTTTGTTTATTGCAAGCATATGTTTGTCTCAAGTCACTGCTTCACTCACCTCTCCCCTCCCCTCTCCTTTCCCCCTCACCCTCCTCCCCTCTCCTCCTGCCTTGTTTTTGTTAACCCTCCCCCATCTGTTCAGGGTGCTTCAGGTTTAGACGGCAGGCCTGGACCACCGGTGAGTTCCGTTTCTCCATTACCCTACGTTCCTCCTCCCCAGTATCGTGATTTGTCTCGTCTCTTCTACCAGAGTCTCGTTTTTACCAGGAATAAGCTTCTTTTCTCCAAAGCAGGCTTGGGAGGGGGGGGGAGTTAAACTTAGACTGAGAAGTGATGCCACACGCTTGTCTTTTTTGATGCTACGAGTCTGTCTGGATCCCGGGATCACAGCCTATCTGTTCCATTTTATCTCAATAACAAGATGAATGAAATCTCTGCATGATTCCGTGATGCTCTCTTCTCCTTTCCTCTTTATCGTGAGGGGTCTCCATCCCATCATTCTCCGTGGTAGCCTTGCTTGCCGCCTTTTCACAACAGTAGCTCTTCAGTTATGTCTTAAGCATCATAATGCTGGCGTGTTCTGTCCTGTGAGCACAAAGCTTTGCACGTTGCTTTCACACATAGCACTTAAAGCTGCATTGCCATGGGTTGTAGGTATGCTTGCAGGTATCTCTCCATAGCCTGGTAAGCATCTCACCACGAGGAGAAGTGGCATCTAAAAGACCTTCTGCAAGCAGGGGTAGCCCTTTGCCTCCCAGCAGCAGAATGCCATGCAACTTCAGCAACTCCAAACGTGCTTTCCTTCAGTCCTGGCTACCTGGGGGTGGGGGCGGTGGGTTCCAGTCTGACCTACGCATCTGAGAGGTAGCAACATCTAACAGGAGCAGGAAGCTGCAAGATTCCCACCTCTTGTTGCTAACTTGATGTGAAGGAAATAAACTCCTTGTGCCTAAGCTTCTCAGTCTGTCGAATTCGGAATGAGACAAGTAATGCTCACATGGTTCTGCAACTCATGCTGCTGTAACAGCTGTTAAATAAGGGCCCAATATTTTTCATGGGTCACCCATGTACAATCCATACGGCTATTTAGAAAGAATAACTGGAAATAACTCAGTTGCTCTGTAACTTCTGAACACAATCTGAATGGCAGCTTTTACACTCACTACTTTTGGGAAATTGTAGATTTAATTTTATAATCGTACAGGTGTGATCTCAATGTATTTCATGGCACTAAATGATCTTAAAATGATGCACCCGTGCAGGCAATTCAGATTTCCGTGATGCGAACTCCTGTGCATTGACCTAAGGAGAGTCTGATTTTTCTCACTTCCTTCACTGCGCTGGAGTTGTGTGCTGCATGAATTCCTTCTCCACTTACATTCTGCAGATCTTAATCTTGTCTGAAAAGCTCTCCTGATCGATGAGAGCCATCCTGCTCATGTCAGAGGGGTTACTTTAGTGACTAAGGTTTGCAAGCTCACGTTAAAAAAAAGTGCAAGACCCTTTTCCTTAAGGCTGTTTGTTAGAAAAAGACTTCCCTGTTCCAGAAACCTCCTCCTCTGTTCTTCCCGGCAGGCAGGTAACGGGCCTCAGAAGTATCGCTTTATGGATGATCTCCATGAAGGAGCTCAATAGATCGATTCCCGAAGGGTTAGCAAAGTTCTCGCCAACCTAAAACTATGTGATGTTGGGTTAGGAAGGCGGATGCCTGCCTAAACCGTGTAGTTAGGTGGGTGTACCACACGCGACAGATTTGAAGGCTGTTCTTTAACTAGGCTGCAGAATGTGGTCTGGGAGAGTTGTAAGAGACCCTCCAGCGGGGAATACACTGCAGGTTCAAGGAGTCTATGCAGAGTTGAAATCTTGTTTTTTTTTTTTTTTTTTCTGGGAAGGTTATGGAGAGGTTCATCTTGAAGTATCGCTTTATGGATGATCTCCGTGAAGGAGCTCAATAGATCGATTCCCGAAGGGTTAGCAAAGTTCTCGCCAACCTAAAACTATGTGATGTTGGGTTAGGAAGGCGGATGCCTGCCTAAACCGTGTAGTTAGGTGGGTGTACCACACGCGACAGATTTGAAGGCTGTTCTTTAACTAGGCTGCAGAATGTGGTCTGGGAGAGTTGTAAGAGACCCTCCAGCGGGGAATACACTGCAGGTTCAAGGAGTCTATGCAGAGTTGAAATCTTTTCCTGAATCTTTTTCCTAGCCAGAAGGCCCGCTGCCTAACCGCTGTATTGCCCGCGTGAAAGATAAGCTTTGATCGGGTTGGTTTCCCAAAGCCCAAGCAAGTCTTGGCAGCACTGGGAAGTAGGAAACTGCTGCGCTCGTGGGAGATGGCCCCAGCATCGAAGGGTTGGCAAAAAGGCTGGATTTCCCTGTGAGCGTGGTCGAGAGCCTGGTGGAGCGGCGCGAATGGCAAAAAGGGAACAGAGGGACTGGGACTGAATGATGCCCCGCTTAGTTTGCGTCTGTGCGTGTCTGCATCTGCGCTCATCTCTGCAGCATGGTGTCTCTCAGCTTGCATGACTGACGGGCTGCCTGCCACCAAAGTAACCAAACGCTTTCGGTTTTGCTCAACTCAACTGACACGGGGTGGGGAGGACAAAATAAGGAAACAAAGAAAAAGAAAAGAAAATTGCTTATCGTATATCTAAATGGCCTTTATTCTGCTACAGCTTTCAGCCTTGTCTGATGTAAACTAGAGAGAAAAAAATTCCCTCCTGTGGAACTGGTAGAAATGCCTGCTGTAACACTTGTGACAAGATAGCTTCAAAATTAAAAATAAGGCTCTGAAAAATGGTGCTGGTGTGATCTAATGTAGCAGTTCCCACGTTCTTCAAATTGCCTACAACTACTGCTTCAAATCCATCGCCACCAACACTGAAAGCTGTAGTGGTGCTTCCACCACCAGACTGTCCTTCCCAGCTGGGCTTTCTCCTAAAGGAGCAGCAGTGTCTCCTGGCTTTAGTGAGGCCATAGAATAAAAACACCCTGATGTGTTTTCCTTCCTACAACTACAGGGTACTCCAGGACCAATTGGGGTTTCGGGACCAGCAGGACCAAAAGGAGAAAGGGTGAGTTTCCTTCAGAACTGACCAATGCTCTGTAACTTCTCTGAAGATACCACAGCTCCCTGGGACAGGGAAGCTCTAGGTTTTTCCAGAGCTGGAGCTGCTCTCTCCCTGTGCATCTAAGACCCTCAGCTGGGCCTCTCTGAGTATCTCACCCTTGGGGTTTTTATGTGCTTTGAAATGCGTCCTTTACTTTTCTTCTATAGTGCTGTTGTGTGGCCTTTTTGTACTGAATAGGAGTGTAATGATTTCTGCTCTTTTTGTCTCCATTTCAGGGCAGTAAAGGAGATCCTGGAGTTGTAGGACCAATGGGGCCAGCAGGGCTTCCTGTAAGTATGGGAGAACTAGGGATTTGTTATCCACAGTGCCTGTTTCCTTGCTGTGGTTGACAGCTTAAGGTGCAGCTGTAATACAGCATTTGCAGTTTCAGCTAGGTTAGGTGTTAAAGAAACCAAAGTTACAACCTTACGCGTGCTCTGGGAGCACCAGAAAGAGCTCGGTAGCTTCAGAGCGATGGATGAAGGAAGCAAAGGAGGATGAAGCTGAAGTGAAACCGTTAATTCTCTTTAGTCCTCAAACTACCAAAAGAAGCTGCATGGGACTCCCGGGATAGGTATCCTACTCTGGAATGCTGCTTTTGAGCTCATCTGCTCCACTTACCTTTCCCCAGCTTGGGTGCCTGCCTTCCCCCTGTCCGAGAGGGGGCCCTGCCTTGTCACTGCAGTGACAAAAGCCGTCTTCAGTGAGGTTTCTTCCACTGTTTGGGATTACTTTTTGAAAAACGGGGCCAGCGTTGGAACTCTGGTTGTGTGTAATCGTGGAGCTGCTTCGTTGTTTAACACAAAAAAGGAAGTTTGCTGCTCTTTGCAGGGACTGCATTCTCTAAACTAGCTCAGTTCTTACCTGAAGGACCCTCAGAGCAGTAGTGGTGGTGTTACAGCCTGGATGGTCTCATGGCGGTGAAGAGGAGGTTGTCTGCTGGAAAAGTTTTGGGTTTTTTTTAACCATGGAGCAATTGGTACAAATGGAAAAAAACAAACTCTTGGGCGCACACATTCTTTTTTTTTTTTTGAGGGGAAATACAGGTTTTTTTTAACCATGGAGCAATTGGTACAAATGGAAAAAAACAAACTCTTGGGCGCACACATTCTTTTTTTTTTTGAGTGGGAATACAGTGGGGACTACTTGTTTTAAAATATTTCTTTCTGTCTTGATGTATTTCAGGGTTTACAAGGTCTACCTGGTGACAAAGGAATCCGGGTAAGTTACCAGGCAAACTTCTTGTATTTAGTTACTAACGTCTTCACCTGGTGATAGACCGGTTAACTCCTGAGCAACCTCAAGCAGCTAGCATGTGATTCTGTCTGCTAGACCTTCATACACGTGACTTTACAGACTTGTATTTTAGAAGGTGATACCTGCAGTTCCTACAATCACCGGGCACACTGTGGTACATCTATCTGAAAGCCGTAGGGGGGATTTTCTAACGTGTTCATTGTTGTCATAGCTCTGTTCTCACTGAAGCACGGGACTTTGTGTGTAGTAGAGTTAAGCCAACGTGGCATGCTTTAGGAAATCCTAAACCCCTGCTTACCTATTTACTGATGTGTGTAGGGGTTCCCATGAGAATTAACTGAGGTGGAGCCAGCAAATCTTATTACGTTACTTTTAAATTCCCCCTGAAGCACAAAAAAGATGGTTGCTCTCTGGCAAATGATCCTCCAGAGAATTTGGAAGATGGAAATTTGGAAAAGGTAAATTAAATTTGCCCACCTTAAAGAATCAGACATGAAGTCTCCTCAGGCATCGTCCTGAATGGTTGTGACGGTGAAGAGTTGGGTCAAAACCAGTAATGTGAATGGCTGCTTTTCTGTCATGCCACCTATGTTACGGAAAGACAAACATTACTAAAAAGCGCATGTTGAGAAGCTCCTTGCTTTTTCATCAGGTTTTCCACAACACGAGGAATTTCTTGCCTGTTAAGGCTCTGAATCTTTTTGACAAAAACAGCTTAATGCTATAGTTGAACACAATTTATATTTAGAAATATAAATGACTTCCTGATCAGAGTCTTTGTAAGATTACAATTGTATAAAGACGTCAAGCAGTTCACTCTAGTACCCATGTGTATGTCTTTATGCATGTGCTCACATATACACATACACCTTCTCTCCGTAAGATTCTGGTATCACCTAAGTTTATCTGAAAATGTAAAGTTCTACAGTGCATGTGCCCGTGGGGTGAGTTCATTATATGAATTTGCTTTTTATAAACAGTGAGTGCTCTCTGTCCTTTTATCTGCAATATATCTCTGACCTTACTCTGCACAGAATGGGCAGTTTGGGAAAGCAGCAGCCAACTGGCATCTTAAACTAGGGGAGAAAGGTCCAAGTTTTGTAGGATCTCCAAAGTTCTCCTCTTTTTTAATCATTGCATTTCTGGCTTTGCTTCTTCACTTCCTCTTCACTAAGATGCATCCTGTTTTGTTTGTGTGGCTTCTAAACAAAAAATAACCTTAACAGAATTCCTAGACTTTTTCAGTTGGTTTGTAAACTGGGTGTTTTATTTAAAAGAAGGATCTCTCACGGGCTGTAGGGAGGCTGATAGGATTTCCCCGAGCTCTCGCAATAAAAGCAAATGAAAACCAGGAGAAACCGTGCCTCCTCGTAGAGGACGAGCTGGAAAGCGTGAGTGGGAAGTTTTGCTGGTCCCAGGAAGCATGCGTGCATTTCACCTCGCTGCAACCAGTATTTTGAAATTAAAAAGTGTGAGGACCTTGAGACTGTGAATGGGCAAGTGCAATATCTTTGCAGGTGGGATCCTAGAAAATACCACTCTTCCCACTGAGCCTTGGTACAGGGGCTTCCCCTCGCTCCTGCCCCTCTTCAAAAATTGTGAGCAGGTCACTACTGCTTACAGGAGTTGAACAGCGCGGTTTTGGTGAGGCCCCTTTACGCAGCTGTTCTATCCGAATGCCTCCATCCCTCTGAAGTCATTACAGACATTTTACAAGCACCGTTTGGCAGCACCAGACACGGTGCCGGTTCCCCAGGATTTGGGGTGCAGCCCCATATCCCCAGCTGAGCGCTAGGGTCTGCCCTACAGTGGGACACACAGCTTCTGTGTCGGAACCTCCTCAGCAGCACGGGACGGTCTCTCCCACCTAAACTGCTGGCAAAACTGTGGCAGTTCAGCCAGGAGAGTTCAAAACAAACACAAAGAAAGCTGCGAAGTGAAAAAAGAGAAAGCGACGCTCCACTTCTGACCTGTCCTACAGGGGGCTGGGATACAACGCTGGCCTCCTCGGAAGTGGGAGACGTGTTCGTTTGAAATGCCTCTCTCCTTTTAGACAGCAGCAGTATGCACGGCACTGTAATAGGAAGATTTTTCCGTGTTGAGCGCATTAAAGATGAGGATCCGCTTTGTTAAGCCCCCAAGTAGTTTGCCAAAATCCCCTCTCTGACTTTAGGCAGAGTAGTGCTTTCTAAATCCCAGCAGCGCTCCCCCGCTGCCCTTTGTCCAGGGTGGGAGTGCGGCATAGCCGCGCCTGGGGACAGGCACCAGGGAGCAAGGGGAAGGGATGGCCTTTCACGTAACCCAGCTGAAAAAGTGTCAGCCCGGAATTTGTGCTACCAAGCTGGTATCTCCACTGTTATTTTAATGCCTGTGATTTTTCTTCTTGTGTGTATGTGCGTCTTCCTCGCTCCTACAGGTCCACCTTTGTCCCCTTTATCCCTTCCTCCTCTTCCGCCTTTCTTCCTGGTTCCTTCCTCCTTCCTCCAGAGCAACCCATGCCACATTTTCCTGGATTATCCTCTCTGTTCCAGTGCTTGGTTCTGGGTAACTTCTCCTCATCGCCTCTCCTCTCCCATCCATTTCTCTTGCCAGCTTTGGGATTAACACTTTTTTTTTTTTTTTTTTTTTTTTTAAAAAGAAGAAACAGCAACCTGTGCTGTCTGATTTTATCCCTTAATTCCTTTAACCCTCCCCACAAGGACCCTAAATTCAATTCCCTGTGCAGCAGCCCCTTCCCCTGTTTGTTTTGGTTTTTTTTTTTATGCTTGGCAGCTTTGAGAATTTCCTCTGTTATCCAGAAAGATCTGGCATAGATAGCACTGGCTGTACCTCGCTACACCTCGCCTTGGCTGACCTGCTGCGGGTGGGATGTATCCTCCCTTGGTGAGGAGGGGCAACGGGGCATCTGGGGGCCTTGCCTCAGCCCCTTTTGTGCCTGGCTTTCCTTGACCTAATGCCGCCCTCCACGAGAGAGCAAGGCTCCTCTTCAGTTATGGTTTTTTAAAATTTGTTTCCCCCCCGCCCCATCTCTGGTGAAACCCAGCCTGGAGCCTGTGGAGAAATTGTAATATCCAACCGCTGTAAGAATCGCACCTTCCTGGGGTACGTCTGTGCTGCTAAATAAGAGGCCCAGGGACCAGTTGCTGCCCTCTGGCTGTGCTGCTTAGGCCTAGGCCCTTGCCTAACAGGCTGCTTTTCTGGGGGAGCGCTGCCCAGAGCACCCCAAAGGACAACAGGCTGTGCAGGCTGTCAGGGCTGAGTGCTTCCCTCATTCTCTGGCTCTTTTCTGTTTAGTAATGTTGACGCACCCCAGTGCACAAACCCACTGTAAGACTCAGGCTAGCAAGGACACTCGTTCAAGTGAAAGCTTTGCTGCCCTGGGATACGGTAGTAATTTCGCACCTTAAAAAAAAAAAAAAAAAACCAAACAGCAAAAAACCCCAAACCCACAAACCCGCCTCCAGCTTTTAAGGAAAATCTAGCAAGCCCTGGTGGCAAACACAGTGGTCATTAAACAGTTTAAGGGAAAGCTTCTAATAAACACTCCCATGCGTCAGAATTTCTTTTAAGAATGAGAATTCGGAGGAGTGAGTACAACCAAGGCGGGGAGTCGGGGCCAGCCAGGTCTCGGCAGGG